ATTATATCTCCTAATAAAATCAACATAATTCCTTTATGTCATCTAATATGCAAGCCCTATTTAAATTCACTCAGTTGTCCGCAAATGTCTTTTTACAGTTGGGTTTCCAGATGAGGCCCTCCATTGCACTTGGTTTTCCTGAGGGCAAAGACTTTTGTCTGCTTGTTCATGCCTCTATCCTAGCACCTAAAATAGTGTCCATTGCAAAGAAATCTCTCAACCTGTGTAAGTTGCTGCCATAGTCACCATTATCGTCACCATCATCACCACCATCACCATCATCATCACCATTACTATCATCATGACCACCGTCACCATCATCATCACCATTACTGTCACCATCACCACCATCACCATAATCATCACCATTGCTATCATCATGACCACCATCACCATCATCACCACCATCACCATAATCATCACCATTGCTATCATCATGACCACTGTCACCATCATCACCACCATCACCATCATCACCACCATCACTATGTTGTTGTCAGGTGCCATCAAGTCAGCCTGACTCAAAGCAATGTATGTGTAACAGAAGAAAACCCTGCCCTGTCCTGCTGCATCCACAGAATCGCTGCTATGTTTGAGCCCATTATTGCAGCCATTGTGTCAATCCATCTCTTTGAGGGTCTTCCTCTTTTTTGCTGACCCTCTACTTTACCAGGCATGATGTCCTTCTCCAGGGACTGGTCCCTCCAAATATGTGTCCAAAGTACATGAGATGAAGTCTTGCCATCCTCGCTTCCTGAGGAGCATTCTGGCTGTACTTCCTCCAAGACAGATTTGTTCATTCTTCTGGCAGTCCATGGTATATTCAATATTCTTCATCAACACCATAATTCAAAGATATCAATTCTTTGATCTTCCTTATTCATTGTTGAGCTTTCGCATGCATATGCGGCAACGGAAAAGACCATGCCTTGGGTCAGGCGCACTTTAGGTACACCATTAAGATTACAGCCAAGAAAACTCTATGGAGCACAGTTCTACTCTGTAACACATGGGGTCATTATGAGTCAGAATCCACTCGATGGCAGCAGGTTTGGTTGGTGGGAAACAAGCAAAGTGGGGGATCCCCCGCAGCTGGGTCCAGGAACTCCAGCATTTAGGTGAAAAGGGGTTAGCCCAGAGTGAGAGGGGAGGATCATGCCTCCCAAGGGAGAGAGGGAAGAAGGCCGAGGAGGGAGAGGGAGAGGGAGGAAGAGTCAGGCAGATAAGCCTCCAGTGGGGCCTTGATGTAGCTGCCTGGAGGTGCTGGCTGACCTTAGAGAGAGGGGACACCTGCCAGGAATGAATGGGAGGGTCAGGAAGGGGCTGGCTGCAGGGAGTATGGGACAAATATTTATTAAGTGGCCAGTACTGGGATGAGGGTGGCTACCAAACTGAGTTTGAGCCGTTGTGGATGTCACGTTTGTGGGGTGGGGTTGGGGAGGGAGTTAATAAACAACAGGGCAGGTAGCAAAGAGGGTTAAGAGGAGAAAGAAAGCCTGGATGCAGGTCTGGGCAAGCCTGGGCTGAGGGAGGGACGGTTTCAGGGCTGATGGGAACTGGTGGTTGAGGAAGGAAAGGGTAAAGGGGACCGAGAGGGGGTCCTTGAGGAGAAGGCCAGAGGATTCAAATCTCTCCCTGTCCACATCACCTAAGGAGCCCAGGTGGCGCAATCGGTTTGCAAGTGACTGCTAACCCAAAGGCTGAATGTTGGAACCCACCCAGCATTACTGCAGAATAAAGGTTGGTGATTTGCTCACCTACAGATTATAAGAAAGAAAACCATATGGGGCAGTTCTACTCTGTCACACATGGGGTTGCCATAAGCCGGGCCCGACTCCATGGCAGCTAACAACCACCACATTATCTTAGTGTTTATGACACTTAAGAGTTGTCAGAAATTCTTACTTGTTTATGAGTTTTGGCCTCAGACTGCCCTGTCCAGCTGCAAATACTGGCTCTGTCGTGTGTCACATAATCCTCTGTGAGGATCCGTCACCCCACTGTTCCTCAGTCTCCTCACCTATAAAATGGGTCTATCCATTATACCTCTTCGTAGGGCTGTTGTAAGGATTAATTGAGCTAATTGGTGTAAAGAGCTGAGAACAGATATGGCAAGTTCTGTATTCTCAATAAATTTATTTATTCACTCAAAAGATATTTATGGAGCACTTAACTATGTGCCAGGCACCTTTCTTAGTGCTGGGGATGAAATAAAATAAAACAGAAATTTCAATCATCCTTTGTGGAATTTTGCCTTCGGGTGAGGGAGACAAACAGTTAACAAATAAGTATATATTAGGAGCCTTGGTGGCACAGCAGTGGTTAATTGCTGGGCTGCTAACCAAAATGTTGGTAGTTGGAACCTACCCAGCAGATCCATGGGAGAAAGACCTGGTGATCTGCTCTCGTAAAGATTAAACCAAACCAAACCAAACCCAGTGCCCTTAAGTCGATTTGACTCATGGCGACTGTATAGGACAGAGTAGAACTGCCCCATAGGGTTTCCAAGGCTGTAATCTTTATAATCTTTACCGAAGCAGACTGCCACATCTTTCTCCACGAGAAGTGGATGGTGGGTTCAAACCATCAACCTTTCAGTTAGTAGCTGAGCACTTAACCACTGTGCCACCCGGGCTCCTTTTGTAAAGATTACAGCCAAGATGTGGGCAAAGGCACAAAGGCGGGTCATTCAGAGTGAACCACCAAGTAGCTTCCAGGACTTTGTTGGTCAGCAGTGTGGTGGCTCTTTGTCCACTAGCTTGACTCTGGAGGTCAGAGACAGGGCTTTTGTGTATATGAGCCTCATCTCTTTGGTCTACACCATCTCCTTAATTAACAGCCATCCACAGTCCAAGCCAAGCTTATGGCAATTCATGCCACTTGAAAAGCAAAGCCTTTTGATCCTTGCTCTTAGCTTCTCTCCTCCTAACTGAATCTCAGGCAGAAAGACAAATAACAGCAAGCCTTCCCCCTGAGATCTAGTGATCTTCAGTGCTCCAGCAAAGTAGGGCCTGCAGCACTGACATGCGACTGACTTCCTGCTTCCCACACCTCCCCTTTCTAGCCAGAGCTATTTGATCTAACTTGAAAGACAACAGGAGACTTAAATCCCTCATTTGTGTTTCTACTAAAATCTGTTGGACACCGTTTGCTGTTAGGAAACCAAACTGACTTAATTCCTACCTAGAGAAACTTCCTCCTGTTTCTCATACCCCAAACAGAAGTAAAGTAAAAAATATATAGTGCACTCAACTCAGAAAAAGGAGGGTGAGAGTGGTCACACAACTCGAAGAATATCATCAGTGTCACTGAATTGTACATGTAGAAATTGTTAAATTGGTGTATGTTCTGCTGTGTATATTCTCAACAACAACAGCAAAAATAAAATAAATTGTATATATATAAAAAAGACTACAGCCAAGAAAACCCTATGGGGCAGTTCTGCTCTGTCACATGGAGTCACTGTGAATCAGAATTGACTTGACAGCACATAACAACAACAAAGTATATATGGCAGGTCAGATGGAGTGTGTGCAATGGAGAAAAGGAAACCAGGAAGAAGGTAGGGGACTCAGGTGGGGAGGTAGCAATTTTAAACAGAATGCTGTCTTCTTTTCCTAGTGCTGCTGTAACAAAGTATCACAAACTGAGTGGATTATAAGAACAGAAATTTATTGTCTCACAGTTCTGAAGGCTGGGAGTCCCAAATCAGGGTATTGGCCATGTTGATTCTTTCTGAAGGCTCTGAGGGAGAATCCATTCCATGCCTCTCTCCCAGCTTCTGGTGATGGCCTGCGATCCTTGGCGTTCCTTGACTTGTAGCTGCATCACTCCAATCTCTGCTTCTATCTTCACATGGCTGTCTTCCTTCAGTCTCTCTGTCTCTGTGTCTTGTCTTCTCTTTTATAAGAACACCACTCAAATTGGACTAGGACCCACCCTACTCCAGTATGACCTCACGTCAACTGCTAACATCTTCTGTTTAACCAATGCGCCTCCAGGGCTCCTCTGAAAAGTCTAAAGAAACAAATAATAGGGGGAAGCCTGGGTAAACCAAAAAAACAAAAAACAGTTGCCATTGAGCAATTAAGAAAAGGGTGGAGGCCATTTCTGAGGGAGAGGGTTTGAAGGAGCTGCAGAGGGAGCTCATTGGGATTCCTACTCTGCAACCCCCCTGGGGCTGCCAGCTTGAACTCATTAATCTTTAGTGGCAGGAACTGGCCTTGCCCAGCCAGCTCAGCTGCCCAGTGTGAGCAAGGGGAAGGAAAGATAAAATCTGACTTTATTCGAGGTCAAGTGTAGGGAAAGAACAGAAAAAGATAAGAAAGAGTTTAGGCACCTGGAAGAAGGCGCAGAGAAGAAGTTGGTGGAAAGTAGGGTGTGTTTCATGGAGGGCTCCCACCTCGTTATGTTCTCACCCCAGAGCTCTCTGGGAAAGTCAGAGGAACCAACTTCCCCTCCATGGACAAGAGAACTTCCTCCGTTTTTGCAAAACATTCAGCTTTCCCGGGTCACTCTTGCATTTTCCAGTCTTGATAGGGACAGGGATTTAGGAAACATACAAAGACCCAGAAAGGGACAGAACCCAGAGAGAGAGGGGGACAGAGACCCAGAGAGAGGAGGACAGAGACCCAGAGAGAAGAGGGGACAGAGACCCAGAGAGAGGAGGACAGAGACCCTGAGAGAGTTGGGGACAGAAATCCAGAGAGAGTGGGGGACAAAGACCCAGAGAGAGGGGGAACAGAGACCCAGAGAAAGGGGGACAGAGACCCAGTAGAAGACACATAGAGACAATCAGAGACTCCCCTATGTGCTGAGGCTGAGAGCAAAGCAGATAAGGTGAGCTCCAGAGCTCTGGGTGCTGTCCCTGCAAGACACCAATACCCACTAAGAACATGTCAGGGAGCCAGAAATCTTCCCCAACATCTGGTCACCTGTGACTGAATTTCCATGGGCTGGGGGAGACCAGTGGCAGCTTATTTTGTCTCCTCTCCCCCCAGCTTGCCCTCCCTCACCTGCGGAGGAGCCGAGGGAACATCATCAACATCTCCAGCTTGGTTGGAGCAATTGGCCAGCTCCAGGCAGTTCCCTACGTGGCCACCAAGGTACACCTGCCCCCATCCTGTCCTTCTCTCCCTGCCTGGCCCCCCATGGGCCTCAGTCCTGAGACTAGACTCTTTAGGATCTGGCCCAGGGAGGGAGTCTCCTATTCAGCTCACAGATTCAGCTGTGAGGACCTCGGTCAAGTTGTTAAGTGCCATGTTTCTAGAAGAAACTGAGCCTCATGAGTCCAAAGGAAACCTGCAAGGAGCGCATGCTTCCCCACTCTGATCCCCCTGGTTGGGAGGACAGGAGAGCCCCATCTTCCATGGCCTGAACTTTCTCTTATTCCCTTCTCCATAGGGGGCAGTCACAGCCATGACCAAGGCCTTGGCCCTGGATGAGAGTCAATATGGAGTCCGTGTTAACTGGTGAGCAGCCTCAAGAAGGCTAAGACCCTCCTGGGGGACCTGGAAGGACTGAGAGTGAGTCAGGTCCTTGGATGACACAGAAGGTTTTTGCCTAACTACTAGCCAAGGGGTTGGCAGTTCAAATCCACCCAGTGGTGCTATGGAAGAAAGGCCTGCCAATCTGCTTCCATAAGATTGTTGTTGTTGTTAGGTGCCATCAAGTTGGTTCCAACTCATAGTGACCCTGTGTATAACAGAATAAGACACTGCCCAGTCCTGCACCATCCTCACAATTGCTACCATGATTGAGCCCATTGTTGCAGCCTCTGTGTCAATCCAGCTCGTTGAGGGTCTTCCTCTTTTTTACTGACCGTCCACTTTACCAGGCATGATGTCCTTCTCCAGGGATTTGTCCCTCCTGATAACATCTAAAATATGTGAGGCAAACTCTTGACATCCTCGCTTCTAAAGAGCATTCTAGCTGTACTTCTTCCAAGACAGATGTGTTCATTTTTCTGGCAGTCCATGGTATATTCAGTATTCTTCTCCAACACCGTAATTCAAATGCATCAATTCTTCTTCAGTCTTTGTCGTAGTTATCCAGTGCTGATACAACAGAAATACCACAAGTGGGTGGCTTTAACAAACAGAAATTTATTCTTTCACAGTTTAGGAGGCTAGAAGTTCAAATTCAGGGCGCCAGCTCCAGGGGAAGGCTTTCTGTCTCTGTCAGCTCTGGGGGAAGGTCCTTGTCATCAGTCTTCCCCTGGTCTAGGAGTTTCTCAGTGCAGGGACCCTGAGTCCAAAGGACACGCTCCACTCCTGGCTCTTCTTGCTTAGTGGGAATGAGGTCCCTCTCCTCTTTACTGGCTTCTCTCTTTTATATCTCAAAAGAGATGGACTCAAGATACAACCTAATCCTGTAGATTGTGTCCTGCCTAGTTAACATAACTACTTCTAATCCTGCCTTATTAACATCATAGAGGTTAGGATTTACAACACATAGGAAATTACATCAGATCACAAAATGGAGGACAGCCACACAATACTGGGAATTATGACCTAGCCAAGTTGACACGCATTTTTGGAGGACGCAATTCAATCCATAACAGTCTTCCTTATTCATTGTCCAGCTTTTGCAAGCATATGAGGTGACTGAAAAGACCATGGCTTGGGTCAGGCACACCTTAGTCCTCAAACTGACATCTTTGCTTCTTAACACTTGAAAGAGGTTTTTTTGTAGCAGATTTGCCCAATGCAATATGTCATTGATCCAAGTAAAATGAAATCCTTGACAGCTTCAGTATTTTCTCTGTGTGTCATGATTTTGCTTATTGGTCCAGTTGTGAGGACTTTTGTTTTCTTGAAAACCCTATGGAGTGAAGTTCTACTCTGAAACATGTGGGGTCACCGTGAATCGGAAATGACTCGAGGGCAAAGGGTTTGGGAGTGAATCAGTCAGAAGAACCATGGGGAGTGAGCTCAAGAGTCAAGAGTTTGGGAAGGATTTTCCTGATTGTCTTCCTCCTTCCCCCAGTATCTCCCCAGGAAACATTTGGACCCCACTGTGGAAGGAATTTGCAGCCTCAACTCCAGACCCGAAGGCCACAATCCAAGAGGGCACGTTGGCCCAGGTAGGAGTTGGGAGCCAGATCCAGGTGGGGTGGGGTGGGGGTGGCCGGATAGGACTCCTCTTAATCACCTTTTTTGCCTTTTGTCTCCCCAGCCCCTGGGCCGCATGGGTCAGCCAGCTGAGGTGGGGGCAGCTGCTGTGTTCCTGGCCTCCGAGGCCAACTTCTGCACGGGCATAGAGCTGTTTGTAACTGGGGGTGCAGAGCTGGGCTACGGGCGCAAGGCCAGTCCAGGGACCTCCGTGGAGGCACCCGCTGACCCCTCCTGATCTCCCTGTTCCCAACTTGGACATCCTTGCCTAGGACCCTCCCACCCCGCACTCAGACCACCAGATCCCCACCTCCTATCATCACCTGTCTCTCAAGTGCAGCCCCAGACCATCCCCAGGTCCCCATAAAAACCACCTGCAGCCAGAAGGAGGGCATCATTCCATTTATTTTCTGGTCTCTGTACGAATCCCGCCCCATCAGGATGCCGCCTCCAGTCCCTTGCCTGCGCCTGCACCCGGATGGACTACAACTCCCAGTTCACCTAGCGGCAGGCTCCCGGGAAAAGAGGAGCAGACGCTTGCTCCTGTGCGCTAAGTAAAAGGCCCGCAGTGGGGAGTGAGTTGAGCGCTAATTGAGAGATGATAGAGGAGGAAAAGTGAACAGTTCTTTTTATTCTTGGCACTGAGGGGAAAGGAATTCTCATCTCTCTGCCTGGGGAGGAGGGTGGCCAGCCATGAGGGGTCCTCAGGGAGGAAGAGTTTGAGGTCTGGACTCCTGGGTTTGAGGGAGGAGGGGGCTGAGGGCCCGGTCTCTTGGGTCTAAGGGCGGTTGAGACTGGGGGTTGCAGACTTGCAGGCTAGGGAAGAGCAGACCCTGGGTCCCCTAGGTGGGGAATAAGGTCCCCATCGTGGTGGAGTCCCCCCGGTGCCGGGGTGGAGCTGCATGGTTGCCGCGTATTGGCCCCGACGGAGGTGTGTGCCGCAGTCGGGGATAGGTCGCGGCGAGATTGGGAGCCCGCCATGGGCTCCGCCCCTACAGCCCCAGGCCATTTGGTGGGGGAAGAGGGCTGGGCAGGAGAAAGAAAAACGGCGACACCCTGCGGGGGAGGGTTCGTGATTTGGCTGCCCGGGTCTGTGGAGGGGAAGGGATGGGCAGTGACCCAAGGACAGGATTTGGGGGCATGATGGGGTCCTGATTTTGGGGCCAAATGTCCCAGGGTTGAATGTCGGAGGACAATGGACTAGTGAACGCATTTTGAAGATACAGTAGGGTCAAAATTTGGGTGTCACATTAACCCCGGTGCAGGAGTTTGGGGGACCCTGACCACTGAAGGTTTTGTGGGTACAGCGACCAAGGGCAAAGATATAGGGGGCATTGACGCAGGTTTGTGTTGCTAGGGTTCTTGCAGGACTGTAATTGGCTGACTGGGCCTCTGGGTTCCTGAAATTGGGGAGACAGTTACAAACGGTGTAAGCAGGAAGCCCGGCCCTGGGGGTGGTCCTTGTAGAGTCAGTGATAAATGGGGGTGTCCAAAAAGGCTAGCATTAATCCAAAAAACACAAAATAATAAATGCTGGAGAGGTTGTGGAGAGACTGGAACACTTATACACTGTTGGTGGGAATGCAAAA